CAGGGCAGGACAGGATGGTCTCAATGACCCACACAGAATACTCCTAAGTCACAGGCTTTCAGTTCCCCTCACTCCCAGGGAAGCTTTGGAGCAGGTAACGCCACCCACTGGACGGAGCTGAGCTGTTTAATGGGGCGTGGCATGTCCTGCCCATGAATTTTTCATGCCTTTGTTTAAGAGCTGGAAGATATGCAGCCTTCCTGTAGCTCTGCTGTGAAGTGGTAATTAACGTTCACAACAACCAGGAGGAGGGAAGGGCAGAGACCGGGTGCTGCTCAGGGGCTGCACTGATCTCTGTCACCCTGTTCGTGGAGGGGGACAAGTTGTTCCCAGCCCAGGCCAAGTGGAGCCACCAGGGAGAGCAGTTCTGTGGACCTGGGGAGGCCCAGACGATGCACAGGCACATCTCTGGGGAGCAGGGGACTGTTTGAGTGAAGGAGGTCATGCCCATCCCAGCAGGACATAGAGCCTCAGATGCCTCCGTGGGCCAAGTCCGTGATGAGAGGGTAGAGGACTGGAGTGCATGCTGCAGCACATGACAGTGACGGGGGTCAGGATGACAGTGATGAAGACCATGGTGGGGGGAGGATGATGATGGTGGTGCTGGTAGTAGTGGTGAGATGATGGTAGAGATGGTGGTGAGGATGATGATGGTGGTGATTATGGCGGTGGTCAGGATGGTGATGGCAGTAGTGATACTGAGGGCGATGATGATGATGGTGATAATGAGGATGACCACGGTGATGATGGTGGTGTTAATTATGGAGTTGCTGATGAAGGTGGTGGTGGTTGTGGTAGTGGTTGTAGTGATGGTGATGGTGGTGGTGGTAATGATTGTGAGGATGACCGTGGTGATGTGGTGGTGGTCATGATGATGAAGGTGATGGTGGTTTTGATAATGGTGGTGGTGATGGTGGTGGTGATAGTGGTGGTGGTGGTTGTGAGTGGTCGAAGTGATGGTGATGGTGGTTGTGAGAGTGGTGATGGTGATAATGATGGTGAGGATGTCCGTGGTGAAGGTAGTTGTGATGGTGGTGGTGGTTGTGAGTGATTGAAGTGATGGTGGTTATTATAGCGGTTATGGTGGTGGTGGTCATGATGGTGAGGATGTCCATGGTGAAGGTGGTGGTGGTGGTGGTGGTAGTGGTTGTAGTGATGGTGATGGTGGTGGTGGTAATGATTGTGAGGATGACCGTGGTGATGTGGTGGTGGTCATGATGATGAAGGTGGTGGTGGTTTTGATAATGGTGGTGGTGATAGTGGTGGTGGTGGTTGTTGAGTGATTGAAGTGGTGGTGGTTATTATAGCGGTTATGGTGGTGGTGGTCATGATGGTGAGGATGTCCGTGGTGAAGGTGGTTGTGATGGTGGTGGTGGTTGTGAGTGGTTGAAGTGATGGTGATGGTGGTTGTGGTGGTGGTTGTGGTTGTGAGTGGTTGAAGTGATGGTGATGGTGGTTGTGGTGGTGGTTGTGGTTGTGAGTGGTTGAAGTGATGGTGATGGTGGTTGTGATAGCGGTTATGGTGATGGTGGTGGTGGTGAAGATGATGATGTGGTGATAAGGATGACAGTGGCTGTGATGGTGCTAGTGACCGTGGTTGTCGTAGAGAAAGAAGTGGAGGCTCAGCAGTTCACTCTGGCTCTCCCCACCTGATGAGTGGGGTGGACAGGTCTGAGCGTTTGGCCTTCCCGGAAGGAGCCCTGGGCTCAGTGCCTCCCTCCTTCCCTTCCGCTGTCGTCCCTGAGCATAGCAGGGGGCCTGTGGCGGCCTCCCCAGCCCTTGAAAGCACCAGATGGAAAGAAGGGCTGAGCGCTGGGTCAAGACAGGGTCCTCAGCACTGTGTCGCTGGTGCCTCCTGGACCTGCTGTTTCCTAGGACGCCGTGTTCCATGCACATGTGACCATTACCCTAAAGTCTCAGAAATGGCCAGTGGGAGGACCCAGTGCAGGACAGGTGAGGTCCACATGGTGGTCAGAGTTAGGCCCAGCCAAGTTCAGTGGACACAGAGACCACACACCTGTGGGTGAGTCCCTGGGCCCAAGGCAGCCCCTGAGGCCATCCATCTGAGCAGAACCGCAAGATAGCTTTGTTCACCCTTCTCCCTTGAGTCATGGCCACATTCAGTTCCATCCCCATAGAAGTCAGACAGGATCCCCTGGACTTCAGGACAGCGAGTGGTGATGCCTCCCCAGCCTGCACCACTCAGTTCCGTGAAGGCCATGCTACCTCCAAGCTTTCAGTGGTGGTCCCTCACCACCGACTCCTTTATGCAGGTAAATCCCTAGGTGCCCATCAAGACCTCGGGACAGTCCTTGATGAGCCTGAGGCCCAAGTCAAGGCTGAGAGGCTTAGGCAGGTGGTGGGAGGAGGTGCAGCTGAGAGCAGGTGGGCTGTGCGCATTGTCCCCCATGGCACCCTGATAGGAATTGCCATTTTCACCTCACAGGGACTGTAACCCTAATTAAACTAATTAAGTGCATTGAGCCTGACTATCTTGGTGCTAGCTGCTCCATCAGAACGAGCCCAGGGCCTCTGCTAGCCTTCAGCAGAATTCTCCTGGCCCCTCTCGGGTGGACTGTCCACTGTCCCTGCTCTTTCCACCCTGGTCCTGAATGCCCACCACACCTGCGTGGTCCTTCATCCGCAATCCTTCAAGCCAGGCCATGATCCCCATCCCCCAGCGGTTCCATCCCAGGTCCTGGCCACACTGCTCACCTTCTCACCTTCCTTCTCTGCTCAGCTCAGGAAGGCAGCTCTGCTCTGCCCTGCACCCCATCTTACGTGCTCCCCCTGACTCGGCCCACTGGCCACGTCATCACACTCATTACCCCTGCAGTGGTGTACTGCCCCCAGCCTGTGCTCTCTGCCCTCCCCCTGCAGTGGTGTACTG